GTTGCGGAGTCTCCTTCTCTGGAGATATTCAAGACCCACCTGGACAAGGTCCTGTGCAGCCTGCTGTAGGTGACCCTGCTTCGGCAGGAGGGGTGGACTTAGATGACCCACAGAGGTCCCTTCCAACCCCTACCATCCTGTGATTCTGTGATTCCGGAGGGCTCCAGGGGTAATGTCCCCATACTGTCCAACCTTCTTACTTATTTCCATACAGTTTCCAATCTTCACCTAGTCACTACGTAACAACTGTTTGGTAGGGTTTTCTTGGCTTATTTGGTTTGAGGTTTTTTTGGTTTTTGGGGTTTTTTTTTTAAGAAATCCAGATATACTGTATGAGTTAAATCACCTTTGTCAAATGTTCATCCAGTCGTTCAAACGACATAAGCAGATTTACAGGGCAGGGCTTCCTGCTGCGGAAAACAATTTGACTCCTCTCTATCATCGCCTTCAGTCCTGTGAACGAACACTAATTCTATTCTTCTTTTATAGTTTCTACCAAGGTGCCTAATACAGAAACCAGGCTCACTATGAGTTTCCAGTTTCCCAAATGCTCCATGGGCCCCTCTTGAAAAGCCTGACACGTTTACTGCTTTTCATTCTTCCATTCTAAGGCCAATTTAAGCAATGATTATACACAACCGTGTGTAACTCGGCAACTTCACCACTGAGTTCTTCACAAAGTGAGAACTTTTCCAAGCAATTCATTGTGCTGATCTGCTCCAAAACGTTAACCTTCTGTCAGCTTCCCCCAGCCGGTTCCCCAGAAAGGAAGGCTCCACGTGGGAACCGTTCTGCGGTGAATAGCAATGCAAATAACATCTCTGCTATGGCTTTACCTTCCTGTAGCTCATATGTAATATTATGATCACCTATCAGCCTATCAAGATCTCTGGCAGGCTTTCTGATTTTGACAGTTAGACAAAAAGCTTTTTCTTTTTTTTTAATGCATTCATAAAGTCGTTCCTCAACATTTTTTTGGCCTACCTCATTATGGTTTATATTTAACGTGCCAAAGTTAATGCTCTTTCCTATTCTCTTCATTTGGATACAACTCCTGCTTCAGAAAGATGACTTATTTCTAGGAGCCTTGTTTACTTTACTGTTTAATTCAGTCCTTGTTAATTTTTGTGGCTTTCCTTCAATCTCTTATTTCCCCTCCCTTTTCGGACTTTCACCATCAAAACTGGGCACAGTATTCTAGAACTCTTGGGTTGCGGGGTTTTTGAGGGGGCTGCATTTTTAACTTTAAATCAGTGCTACACACAAAATTTCTCAACGTATGTGTGTACATAGGAACCTGAAATAGCATTTCGGCTATGGTATTTTGTTAAGATTACATGAGGCTTTCTCTGTCTCTGTTTCCAAGACAGAGTTTTTCTGTCTTGAAGGTATAATCTGCATTTGTTCCTCCCAGATGCCTTATTTCATACTGGATATATTAGCACATATTTTGTTGGACTGTGGCTATTTAAACCAGGTGATCCAGATTGTTCTCTAAAAGTTCTCCAACCAATCCTTTATTTAGTACTCTCCAATAAGCGTATCATCTGCACAGTTAACCTAGGATTTTTTCCAGCTAGGATTATTAATGAAGGCATCAAGCACTGCTAGAATGAGAACTGATCAACTGAGGACCTTATTAAAAAATCCCCTATTTAATCTTTCCTTACCAGCAACCACATTTTGAGATTTCTCAGGGCATTGCTCTTTAATCCGTCTAGCACTTGCTTATGCTTGATAAAGTCTGAACTCACATTGGTACCATTAAAGAAGCACTTACGAAGAAGAGTTACATACTCTTAAAATATTTATTCTATCTCAACTATTTCCATCATATTTTGCCTGTTTACATTTGAAATTGTGCTAAAAAGTCAGGAACCTTTAGGATGGGAAAACATGTATTCATTTTATTCATGCTTGAAAACAGCCAAACCAACTTTATCCAAATAATAAAAAAAACAGGACAAAGCCACACATTTTATGGTGAAAACCAAGCCTGAAAAACGTCAGCCGCAGAGATGATGTTTTCCTAATGATATGAGCAACTGAAAACAAAAGTTATAAAAAAAGAAATCAAGCAGCTCAAATTCTTAAATGAACAGGCCAGCTAATTTGGCTTTTAGAGTTCTAAATATATTAAATTGTGATACCTGGCTTGGTAATATTAACTTTGCATAGTTCTCTAAGTACGAGAGAAAGAAGAGGAAAAATCTTAAGTGTAGCACGGAATCTTTGCAGAATTACTGGTCAGCCATCCTTACACCAATCCTAGCTAAAATAATGAAATGTCTGACGCTGAATTCAATTAATAAAGAATTAGAGGACATCCTGGAAAAAAACTGAAACCTTCATAAGGTTTAGTGTTCATGTTAGAGAAGCAACTGAACATAAATCCCCAGCAAGATGCTGTCTTTAGAACTATGAATATGATTTTTCAATGTATGAACAAGAGAACAACCACCTAGTTTGACTACTGAGACAAGTAACAACCTGTCTGCCTGGTATTAGTTCAATGCAGTCAGCTACTGGGACAAGGTGACTGAACAGCGACCTGGAAGTAGCTACTGAGGGAGAGAACAAATAACACTTTGGATTCTAGCAGGCAAAAACCCTCCTTCTTGAAGCCAAAGTCTTAAATAAATTTAAAATTAAAATAAGATGAATATTTTTGCAATGAGTTTATCCATTGGAATAACGTAGCACATTATTACCAGGTTCTCCATAAATTGAAACCTTTAAATCAAGCTAAGTAGCCTGTGATCCATGCTGAATTTACTGGAAGAAAACATCACGTCCTGTGTCATGAAATAAATCAGGGTAAGGGACTATTAATGGTATTTTTCTGGCCTTAATAACTGTTCTTAACAGTCTACCTTCCGCAGTGCACATAATTTATCTCTGCAGAATCAATATGTACCAACACCCATGCCTTGGAAAGGGCAGTTAAGTTTCAGTTGTATAAAGAAAGGAAGGCTTTAGCTTCAGACATCTTACCACAGTTAAAGTACCTTAAATTCCTCTTCTATACTATTTATATTTAATATGTACACAAACACAGATTTAAAAGCACTCAAAGTTCTTTAAAGAAGAGGATGACAGTCTACCTACTTTCAGTTCTGGTATTTATTTACATTCTAACCAGAGTTCCAAAATTCACTCAGAAGATAACACTGATAATTCATTGTTTTACACTGGCGATGGAGAACATAGTCTCAAAACTTAAGTGTTTTGGTTTTAAGGCCTGGCTGTAGTATCTGCTTGTTACACGGCAATGTCAGATTTTTATTTTTAATTTTTAAAGTTTGCAGATACCACGTTTGCCAATAAAAACAAAGAAAGATGATACCAGCAGTTTCAGGCTTGGCCTGAAGGCCATGGTCACCCAACCTAACTTCTACATGTGCAAGTCATGGAAATTCCCTCCTTGAAAGAAATAAAATATCTCTTTTAGAAGTACCAGTTGTGTTAAAAAGTCCACTACCTCTTTTGCCAAAGAGGTCACTGCACTAAAAGATCTTTTCCACATGCATTAGAAGCTTGTACAAAGGTCAAATAACCATTCGGACAAATTTTCCTTTTGATGAACAAAACTGAGATCCTTGAGCCCCAACAGTATAATGTTCTTGCCAATCTATCTTCTGAACTGTCTTCCAGCAAGTCTACAAACTCTGTGAAATGCAGAAGCCACATGGTGCATTAAAGAAAGCCATAAGCCAAATGTAAAGGTAAGTTTTGGTTGACCTGTTATGACTACATTCCTCATTTCTGAGAGCTATCAAATAGTACTGCAACTTTCCACCCTTTCAGAGGGAAACAAATTCTGAAGAAACAAGTAAGACTTCAGCTCACAGTAACTTCTCAACACAGGAAGATGCAGGACTTGTTAATAACATGTCTTAGACTCTTTGGAAAACACTATTGCAATGCTTTCAGGCACCTGAGGGATGCTTTACTCTGTCCTCCCAAGTTAAAAAGAAAAAACAAAACACACCACACTTTGCTACTCCAGGCAACTTAATCTGTCACTTCATGACCGAAAGTTCTTAGGGATTGCACCTTCTTGTACCAGCAGTGAGCTTGACCACACATCTGTATCATGCACTGACAATATAATTTGTTTTGTTATTCAACACACAAACCTCTCTACTCTGAGCAAACTCCTAGTCAGACTGAAATCAATTAAGCCGTTGCCACTGACCGCTCAAATAGCCCTGAATTTCAACAACGGACTCCCCTTAAACCAACCAAGTGACAGAGGAATGACACTTTTCAAGACAATCTCTGCAGATCACCCAGCCTGAAGGATGAACAGATGACAGTCATGAGCGCTGATGCATACCCAGGCTTGCACACTCCTTCAGAGAAATTTGCATACTTTGATGCCAGTTCTGGAGGCCTGTGAAAAAAATAAGCAGAGTCAGGACTCTCCTGGCTATGAACTGGCCTTTGCAATCATCCAAGTTATTTTTTTTCCTTATAGCTTTTCTGAAAAACACCTGTGAGGAATACTAGCAAACACAGATAGGCATTTATTTGTTGCAATATAGCATCACAGGAGAATAAGAAACAAAGGATAGGGTTAACGATATCTGAAATACCACTAAACCACTAGTTTTTGCTGAAAGACTTTCATACCTAGGAAGGTAAAGCTCATGGAAGAAAAATATCAAGATACCATTTTAGCCTTAAACCTTTCAAAATGAAGGAAACATAAACACCACTTTGGCTATTTTTCTAAAGTATTATCAAAGTTAGAATCATAGAGACGTACTATTTAGAGTATTATTTAGAAGATACCTTTCAAGCATTTGAAACAAACTGCCAAGCAGTTCTGACAGACTATCATCAAGAGATGCAATGTTTCCAGTATTTGGAGCAGGTGACACACTGCTGTTCTGTTGGGATGTGTCTTAATTCAGCTTGCCTAGTGATTTCGGGGCCAAATTCAAAATATTAGGGTTTTTTTCATTTAGTTTTTGTACAGAAATAAGATTGGCAACTCAAGAAAAGATATGTAAGTCCAGTACATACTTTTACCATAGATCTACCAAGTGATCTGGTAAAAACATTCGATTTTCTTTGTGTCCCTGTTCATCACCTGGAAAATTTTTACATTCATCCATTTCACGAAAACATTGCAACGGTTAACTCACTTGTGCTTTCTAAGTAACATTAGATACCTTAATGTCAGTTGTGGTATGAGAACTATTAATATTCCTTCCTCCAAAAAATGCATTTACAGCTACATGCTCCACATTCAGTGGAAGCTGCAAGTGTTAACTACTACAAAGAGGCGATTGATAACGTGGTATTTGCTACACCGGTTTGTTAGCAGTAGGCTAGTAATGAAAGGTTTGTTCCTATAGGTCAACAGGAGGAGTCAAATGAAGATGACAGTACAGATCCACAGAGCAGATCCACAAAAATAATTTTTGAAGAGCCCATTATTATCACAACCAGGATTTATTCTCCAGGCATCACCAAAATACACATCACCAATACCACTTAACTAGCAAAATACTGCTAAATGCAATGAGCATGGATTCAGAGTTTCAAGCGAGTGGACCCCTGAGCTGAAGACGAGGTCCTGGGGTGACTGTGAGCAGTGGTGCAAACAGAACTCCAGCTGACAAAATGACGTATCTGAGTGACAGTAACTCCATGCTGAACTGTTAGTAACTATCCTTGTACTGGTTCTGGGGTCACTTCCCAGGAGACCACTAGGCCAGTTCCAACTGTGTGATCAATAGATGGACAGTTAATTTTACAATTAGCTACATACAGTACAAAACCTCCTAAATCTATAGTTTGTAAAGAATTAAATCTATTTCTGGGAAATAAAAATGTAACCTTCAACACCTGGAAAAGGAAATAAACTGGAGAAAATAAAAAGTCACTGTAAGCATTTAATTCCTTAAGATTTGCAGCTGAAAAGCACCAGAAAAGCTTAAGACCATGGACCTGATTCTAATTCTGCCACAGATTTCCTGCACAGTTTTGGTCAAAACATGTAATATTTTACTATCACAATTCCTCATCGATAGGATGGCAGAACAATACATTTGACTATTTACACTGTCAATTATTTACAGCAAAGTTTAGATTTCTCTAAATATATCGACATGGAAAGATAGATACAGGTTTAACATCATCTAGCACAACCCAAATGCAGAAGTTCAGTTTCCACAGGTGATATTACAATACATATCTCTAAATGAGAGAGATGAGAAAGCATGTAAGAAGTGAGCACCTAGAAGTTTGAATTCCGATGACTTTCACTGAATGATTTGTGTTCTGACTCCATCCAGAATCTCTTTGGAAAACAGAAGGTTTTAATGGTGTGGAAATAAACCCCCTTCTGACACAGTCAAAAGGGACAGCGGGGCGTACAGATCACAGCTGGCTGCAGCATTTCAGATATGAAGAAATGTGGGAAATCTTCATCTTTATCAAGCAAACTTCAGTGTTGCTGCAGTTTTATTGTTTAAGCAACACACAGAAGCCCCTAATACCAAAATCTTCAAAAATAAGTAGAAAGCAAGTGGAATTTATCTGTAGCCACCATGGTAGTGAGTCACTGCTGGCAAACTTGTATAACCATTTCAACAGCAGGCCTTTCTCAAATGACCTCAGTGGTCACACAAAGTATCTTGTGCCACAAACACAGTCATTTTTCTCTCTTCTGATTTAATGGCGCTTTCATTATCAAATTAAAATGTCACTCAGATGCCCATCGTGGTGTTTCTGCAGACGAAGGCTGAAACCCTGATACATTTGAGTTGCATGGAATGCCAGGCAGTGCCGCATACTGACAGCGAAGCTGTCAGTTACACAACCCACAAAGATACTCCGAGCTGCTGAAGCCCGAGGGGCCGAGCTGTTAACATTTCTTGGATGTGATGAAGTTCATGATCCAGAGTGCCAGAGGCAGAACAATTCTCGTAAGCCAATTGTAGCTGCCATCTCGTATCATTCAACATTCACTCATCTCCTTTCTTCTAGCCACATATTGAGCCAACAGGCTACATAAAACTGGAAATGGGCGCACTGCATTTTAAATCCATCTAGGAACACATTTTATTTGTTCGATTTCTTCAGATTACACACTACACACTGTCATTGTCAGCATGCTCATAATGATAAGCCTACATTAGGTGTAACTCAAAGCAAAACAGCCTTGCTGTCTCCCATTCTGCTACCTCATGAAACTATCCAAGCTAACATCATTTTAGATATATAAATTCGCTTTGTGGTTTTTTTTTCCCTGCAAGAGTCACAGATCTCGCAGAGATTGCTCTTCCATAAATCAGACTGCAAAACATCCCATATGAAGCGTCCTATAGAGAACTACACATTTTTCAAACAAATCCAGCTTTGTAAAATCACACTGCTGTTGGCAGGTACACAGTTCTGTAACAAAAATGTGTGCAGAACTGAAGTGCATGAATAAGCATCTCCTTCATATCTGATGACAATTTTTTTTACACTGCTGCATGTATTGCTACTTCTTTAATTATGGTTCTTATTTCCAAATGGAAGAAGCACTATTACTGAAAGTACATTCTGCAAAGGCTGCCTTTACCAAAACACAGCACTACAACAGCTTATGTTTGATTCTCGTTTTATAATCCTCAATGCTGTTTACAACAGATGGGTCAAGAACTATGCACCAAACCAAACAATATTACTTACTTAGTGCTTTACTACTCAACAGCTTCATCTCACTAGCTGCCTTACTGTGCCTGGAATCCAAGGATCACAAGGAAAGCTGCTGCAGTAAGCCAGCCAGGGCTATCATGACTGTTATGGCACAAGGATGCAAATCTCCTCTACACCTTCCAGGTCCAACCACATCTATTCCAGCTCCTGATTCTCATGCTCCTAGCTACACTGAAAGCATCAGTTGGGTTGAGGTAGTTACAGAGCTGGTGGAGACAGCAGAAAGGATATAACTAGATGACACCACAGAACCTTAAATTTTGCTCAGATTTTGTGCAGAAAAAACCCAGTAAGATAATAAATTTATGCAGAATAAATGAGTGAAACAATTCATAGTCAGTAACTGTAAACATCTGCAGTTTATAAACAAGTGCCTGCATGAGGGTGAAGTTAAAGGGAAATAATTGGCTTATTCCACTAAAAAGAAAATGCATTCTTGCTTTTTTTTTTCTCCTGACTTTTCTCCTACAAGACTAGCACACATCCTGAATTCTTAAGATTTTCTGTGCTTCTCTACACTGTTATGCAGACATCAATCTTAACAAAATTTCACAACTTGTGTAAGTTAAAAATCCAGCTGCTTTCAGAGGATTTAGAAAAAATAGCAACATTTTTCCTTCTGCTTGCATTTGGCAGATTTGTCTCTTCTTTTAATCTCAAATATGAAAACGTCACCATGGTTAAATCCTTCATCATGTCTTGATCAGGGACAATATGTCATCCTCATAGGACTGGAATCTAAATCCATTTAAGAAAAAGAAATTAGTAATACAAACTCAGTGTTTGGACTACTTAAAAAAACATCCGCAACTAAGCTCACGTAATTGAATATTACAAAATCTACTTTACGAGACAGACTTTGCCTCTTTGCCTTCCAGATGGAATTTAAATTGTGGATTGTAAAAACTGAAAACCTTCATCTGCCTGAGATCATCTTATCTGAGGACTGATTTCTCTTGCTGTTACTCTTGCACACAATATGTGTACTGGTACATTTCTGAAAGAAGGAAAAGGAGTTTTTTGGCAATGTGCTCTCTAGGTTGACCTTTGGCCTTGGGGTTTCTTTTGTCCAAAATAACCTGAGTCTTACACCTATTAAGCAGATCTACAAAGTGTATGTCATGATACCTGAAGAATGTACAGGAGACGTGGTAAGAATGTGAGATAAAGGGCACGTAAAACACAACGGTTATTATGAACTAATAATGAAATAATATTACCAAGCAATTTGGCAGATCACTTGATCAAAGCAGTTAATGCTAAGACCCCATATCTACACTACATGAGATTCAGGGCATTTTACTCTAGACAGGATTCCCGTCAGGTTCCCAGGGCCAGATATATCGATCGCATACATAGCTCAATGCTGGCCAAAAGGCTAAGTTTTAGTTTGGACCCTTGTATCCCCAGTTGAATATTTTTGCATTTGGCAAACTCCTAGAATAAAGCTTTCAGTTTTGTTTCCCCAAAATATGTCCAGGGCTACATTTCAAAATCAGGCTGTGAACTCAGCTTACAGTAGGATACAATGATGACATTTGCTTCAAAACTGTGGGACTGCTCCAAACAAGACACTAACAAACTGCAGTGGCTGGGGTGCAAATTTGTTTATATTTCAATTAATATCAAGGAGTCACAGATCTTCGAATGGTTTTTGTTTTGTGTATCACTTAGAGT